GAATTACATTTTGTGTCTTAAAACAGGAAAAGGCTGACATTAAGAGGATGCCTACTGCTGCTTTTATGGGTTTGACTCATGGCTTGAGTTTTTCTGCGTGGATGATGTGTTAATGCCTGTCTTGACATGTTTATTGGCTTACACTCTCTTCTGCCATAAACCAAAGTGTTGGTCTTTTAAATAAGGGCCTGCCTCTTTCTGTTGGCACTAGAATGCCTTCGGATTTTTATAAAGTACTCTAAATAGTGTTCTATATTATATCAGTTTCTTCTTCATCTGTTGTGTATTTACTTTCACTGTTTGTTGGGTTTTTTTTTCCTAACCTTGCTTTTTTTATTCACTCACCATAGAGCTGATAAAGCAGATGATGAGGATGATGAAGATCTAATGGTGAATAAAACATGGGTCCTTGCACCAAAGATTCATGGTGGGGATGTAACTCACATACTGGACTCCTTACTTCAAGGATACGACAATAAGCTTCGGCCAGATATTGGGGGTAAGCCCATAAAATAATTCAGTAAATAGAAGAAGTGTATGAAAGATGGCTTGCATTTTGTCAAAGATGGCAAAAATCCACTTAATGTAATTTTTAAAACTTAATATAGCAAAAACTAATATTAAAACTAATATGACAGCAATAAAATGCAACGGTTTTCTGGAACTGGTAAAAATATTGTTCTATGCAAGAGTAGATTTTGTATGTTCTATTTACAATCTCTTTTTCTTATGTAAAATATTGCTTTTTGGGGACAGTGGGCTTTGTTTAACTAAGATCTGACAGATATAAACCAGCCACGGTTATTTAAAAATTTGATCTTTTGTATGTAAGAGTTTGTTAAGGGACTATTCCTAGATATTTTTACTTTTATTTTAGAAAATACATTGTAAGTATGTATTTTGAGCAAATTTAACTCAACTCAGTTCTCTTCTTCCCTTAGCTCAGATTTTGAAATACTCCATAAGAATCTAAAAATATAACTTAGGAATATATCTTTTCTAAAGGAATATAGGAAGGAAAGTGCATTACTATAGATCAAACTTTGCAGCTAGTAGGAAGGCAAATCTGGTTTTCAATAGTCAAAGCATCAATTTGCATATAACCATTAAGTGTAAATATTTGGAAGAATCTTGTGTTGATAACATGGTATACATGAAAACTTGCCAGCTCTTGTCTACCACGTGCAGGCTGGATCAAACTAAGAAAAATCATTTATTTTCTCTGAGTTTGTTCCCTGAACTGTGAAGGGAGAGGTGGAGGACATAATTATTTGTTAAATACTTGGCATTCCCTATCAAAGGAATGCCATGTGAGTCTGTAAGCTGCTTATATGATAAACAATACAACAATCTAGATTCATTTTATTTATGTAGGAGAACAGAGAGATGCAATCTCAAACTAAGTATTTTCTTTTGAAAGCTTCTGACAAATTGTTTTCTTCCCCAAATTTCTTAGTTCTGTTTTATTGTTGACTGTTACCCTGAAGGTGTTGAATGGCAATTTTTCTCTCACTGTCACAATATAATCACATGTGAATCTCACGAATTTTGTGTCTTTACCTTCACATTCGTTTAATTGAATTACTGCAAACATTTAGACAACAAGAAAGGTCTTCCAGCATATTTTTCCTTAAATTCTCAATGTGTGACAGATGTATAGCATTACTGTTTTTTTTCCCCAACTGCTTGATGCAACCGACAGCAGAGGGATTATGAGGGAATAAACTGTCTCCACCAGGATTCCTTCTAATGTTTAGCTGGTAGGTGGGGATGAAAGAAGAGAGAATTTTGTTTCTCTCCCCTCCCCATAAAACTTAGAAATAAATGGAGAGAAAATAGAGGAACAGGAGTTTGTTCTGGCATGTCAAATGGATTTAGATGGGCATGGAAGAATTTTGGTGTAATCCTTACCTTCACTTTTCTGGTTATGTACTGAGTATTGGTAGGGCAAGAAATATGCCTTTTTGTGAGTAACTCAGTGGCAGCTTTTTGGACTCCAAATATCAGTTCCTGGAAGAAGACTATTGCTTCTCACTTCTCTCACATAAACGTTCCCTTTCTTTTGCTTCTTCTCTCCTTGATGCAATACTTCTCTACCAATCTGACCTTTGCTATCTGGGACCTGCCTCCATCCAATATATTAAAACATAATGTTCATGAATAATCAGCCGGAGTGATGAGCCCAGGAGATATTTGGGAGTATTCCCTCTGGTGCCAGGACAAAAAAAATTTAAGACTGACTCTCCTCTGGTTGGAGGGGAAGTTGCAGACTTTTGCCATAGGGCAGAAATTCTGGACAACATAAGATGATGTTTCCAACTTTGGGTGAAGGCATTGCGTTCTGTCCAGCTACTTGGGAACTGCAGCAGATACTTAACAGATAGAAAAACAAAATCAGGCTACAGTGCATTCATCTTAGTCTGCTTCAGTTATGTGAATAAAATCTGGTGTTAGATTCCACGTGTTCAGAGTATATGTCAGTACTTGTACAACAGAGTTATTGAACTGGAATTCTAATTATCTTTCAAAGCAATAATATCCCACAGAACATTTTTACTATTGAATTACAAAGCTCAGTTACAATAGCATCATTTTTTGTTTTGAACCTGACTTGTGGGGTTTGAATATGAGAGTGGAATTTTGTTTTCTTCCTGATGTTGACACAGAATTTCAGCATCTGAGAGTGAGATAAGGGGTTTCATTGTTAAACATGCAGTTAGTTGAGGGAAATGGTAAAGGAGGGCCAAACTAAAATTGTAACCTCAGAGGCAATACTGAAATTTAATAGGAGAAAAACCCACTATAGTTTTCTGTTTGTCTCAGATACCCACAAGTTGTAGTGATTTCTTAATTGCTACCCTTTGCTATGTTTATTAATCTTACTAGTCTTTAACTCAATTTATGTAATATGCTTTGAGGTGTTTGGAGCATAAAGGAACTAGTATTAAAGTACTTCTGCTTAGTACAAAGTAATAGTAGTTACCAGATGAAGTCTCTTATCTGTAGTATAAATCACTTTAACTAAAGATAACAACCTTGGAATGTTGATATATTAGTAAAGCAGAATTAGTCTCACTGTAACGTTACCTTTTGGCTACCTGATTTTATAACTACGCTGTTTTAGCTTCAGTCCTGCATCAAACTAACTGTTATTGTTCAACTTTCCTTTTTAAAGGAAAGAGTTCTGGCTGCACACTGTTCGGTCTCTTACACTTTAAGGACACTGATATATTAATATTAGCCTGTCAACATACAGCACATTTTTTCCAGCTATGTCTCATGTCCGATGTTATGTATTATATGGGTGAAACACAACTGATCGATCTGAAAGTTTAATTCAAAATAGGGAATAATCATCACATATCTACAACTCTAATGGAGTGTTTTCAATCAACAGTGTGAGGAAAGTCATCATTGATAAAATTTTTAAGAATAGTGAGGATGATTGCTCGTGGACATAGAGAAACTGGATACCTAGAGAAATTTGGATAGTTGTAATTGCCCTATAAGCAATTGCATCTCAGTGCACTAATGTGAAAAGTCATGTACTCGGGGATATAAAGGACACGTGAACAAAACGTGGACTTTCAAGAGGTTAACAGAAGCACTAATTCTGAAAAGACAGGTATATTAGGGGGATATTCGGTTGAACAATGTAGCATTGATGAAAGGATGATATAGACAGGAAGGCAATAAGCCTGAATAAGCAGGAAAATATTAGGTAAAGGTAGAGGGGTATGTATTCTGAGACGAAGAATATTTTGCAGGAATTGAAGGAAACACACGAGCAAGATGTAGAAGAGTACATGCAGTGAATGTTACTGGATGAAGGTACTGAATGTCTGCACTGCATAGAAAATGATGGAAATAATAAAAGTTGTGATGTAGGATTATTTGCTAAAGATGGGTTTCTTTTACATAAAAAGGTAAAAGAAGAAGTGTGGAGAACAGGGCTCTGCTTTCATCAAAATCGCTTTGAAAAAATTCTTCAGACATGGAGCTGGAAGCCTACACTTGAGGCCGAATTTTCATTATAGATAGACATATTAGTAATACTCAGATAACTGGTTGTGAAAACTGTATTATTCCATTGAAAAGTGTTACACATTGAAGGCCTCTGTTATTCCTGAATGTGGTAGTCACCTAATTTATTTGCTGAATAACTGCTTTATCACCAAGAAGAGATGCTTCTTTAGGCAATTAATGAGGAGTTATAGAAAACATGCTGAAAGAAAATAAGCCTGGATGAAATTATCAAAAGCGGTTTTAGCTTAAATTAAATAACATGATAAGTAGTAATAAAAAACAGGTGATATATCTTAGACCTTCATTCCAAAATGGGGAATTGTGGTAAACTACAGGAACTGGTTAGTGAATTTAGATGGACTAACACCCTGTTGGGTAATGTTGAGGATCGGAGTAATGAAAATGGAGAAACATTAAACAACAAAAAGTGCAATGTTCTGCACTTTTACAATAATGATAATAATTTCTGTCAGGAGATGAGGGTTTATAAACCGACAGTAACTGATAAGGAGAGCTCTTCAATGTAGCAGACAGAGATATTTCACATATCGAAAACTACAAATTGGGCCTGAATAAATACAGGCTGGAAAAGGGGCACTTTTGATAACAAGTGCAATTACTAAAATAATTTGTCAATGACTGAGGTAGATTTTTATCACTATAATGTTTCTAATCGATAGTAAACATTTTTCAAAATACAGATTTTCAACTCAAACTGGAGTTCAGAATATGCAAAGGTGTTATGCGGCATCATCCCTTACTAGAAGACTAGTACTCCATGCCTGCTGAGAGAGACTTCTTTCCAGGTCTTGATCCTTGTTGGGAAATTCCAGGTCTTTGTTGCTTGCCAGGAAGTTCATTCTTGCTCTTGAATTCCAGGCACCAGAGTCAATTATTTCCTATATTTATTGCTTGGGACAAGCCTGTCCTTAACTATGTGCTTGGGTTAGGCGATGTCTAATACTAGTCAAACCTTTCAAACCAGAAGATGAGAAGTTCAGTCTAGTGAAGAAAAGGTGTCAAAGCAGGAGATCAGAAAGTGAGCAGTTCTCTCTAGGTTGGGCTTAGCAAACGTTCCCTACGTGCTTCAGCCACATTAGGAGCTGATGAACAGCTGCCCCTTGGTGCTCTTCTCTTTCTCTGTTGAATATGCAATCTGCTGTCCTCTCACCTTCTTACTTTGCTCTAGCCTGGCTCATATTGTCTTTCAGGGTAAATATTTGAAGTCTGCTAGCCCTTTCTCCTCTTCCTTAGAAGCTTCTTTAAGTTTACAGCGCCATTTTGCACTTCATGCAGGACGTGTTAAATAGTTTTCTTCCTACTCCTAATGTTTTCAAGGCTGATACCAAATTTTTGAAGTAAAATAAGAAGTATTCACTGTAGAAACATCTCAAACCGTCTTTCTCTGTTAGCTCTTTGTGGAGAGTAAATGAACAATAGCAAATACATGGATGTCAACTGAGTATCAAGAATGTATTTTCCTCCAGCAATCATCATTTTCATGGACTCGTATCACTTCTAGTTCAAGAACATGAGAAGAATGAGTTCTTTCTTATAATTCACAGAAGTACTTTGCTCTGTACCATACAGAAGAACTAAGGTAACAAAACAGCCTTCTCCAGTCTTGAATTGTGTCTCTTTCTCTGGATCGTTTGAGTCAATTAAAATAATTTCAACAGAAGCAGATTTTCAGACTCTTCACTGGCTCTTATTGGCTCTAATAATCTTACTCAGAGCAGTATGGAAAAGGCAAACTGAACTCGGTGGCACATTACAGGAGAGCCCTTGTGGCAGATCAAGTACTGCTCGCTGCAGGCTGGAATTTCATGACATTGACACAGCCCCCATTAAAAGCTGGCTTACTGACAGATCTCAAAATTTAGTTGTTAATAAGGAAATATCAGTAGTTGGGCTGTCTATAGTAGGTCTCATAGGAAAATCTTGATCAAAAATAATGATATTTTGAATGATTTCAGCAATGATTTTTTGTCATAAAGTTGGCAGATGACACAAAGACTGTTGGAAAGGGAGAGGTTGTATCTGCAGAGTAATAATTTGCTCCTTCAATAAAACTGGAGACACAAAAATTGAGAGGGGGGAAAAGAGGAGGTGGAGGGGAGGAAGCCTGGTGGTCATATTTCAAGGTGAGAGATTCTGAGAAGTAAAGCAGTGATTTAGCAGAAAACTTAGATATTTTGTGTAGTATAAGATCTTAGCTGTGCATCCCTGAGCATTGTCCTGAGATAAGTCCCCTTTTGAAAAGGAACACAACAAACAGAAACCTGGAAATGTTCAAGAAGCACTTATAACACTGTTACAAAAATTTCCAGTCCTGGTGCCCACATTTCAAGATGGGTCTGGAAACAATGCAGCAAATTTAGAAGTTAAAGCTGAACAGATTATTTGTAGGTTGCAGTTGTGGTACACAGTATGAACTGTTGAGCACACTGAAGGCAAGTTTCGGAAGTGACCTTAATCTCTTGTGTCTGAGGAAGAGTTGTGATATATGGCTAGGCAGTACTGAAAGTTGGAGTCAAAGACTTGAACCTCAGAACAAAACAAAATTTCCTAACACTAAGGAGAATTAAACTTTTTCTACTAATACAGGGAAAAAATAGTGGATTCAGCACTGCTTGAGCAATGAGGCAAGATACACTTTGATCCACCTCCTTGTGTTCTAGTCTAGCAGTGAGGTTGCTGTTATATAGATAAATGGGGTTGCAGAATTAAAGGAAAGGGATATCTGTTTGCAAGATGTGGTGTATATAAAATATGTTATATTAAACATATGTGTATATACACATGTGCATTTTATACTTTTTTCCCCTCTGATTTTTCCGTCTGTGGCTATGACATCTTGTGTTACCCCCCTTCCTTTATGAGCCCTGAAGATATTGAAAACATTTGCAGCTCAGGAGGCACTTAATTTTTTTTTCCCCCAGGAAATAAATTGGTTTCCAGAGTCTGTTTAAACTTTCTGTGAAGCATGCTGGGGACAGGATGATGATCAAGTGACTCTGTGCTCTGTGGTCGTACAGAAAATCCTTTGTGCAGCCTCAGTGGTGTGTCTTGCTGTCAGGCTCAGGGTCACACCAGTAATCGGATTTGGAATCAGGGAGAATTTCCTCCCATGTGAGATTGGCAGGGAAAAGGTATCTTAGGATATTTAGGAAATGGATCTTGCCTGTCATTGTAGCTGGCAAGCACGTTAATGACATCCTGTTTCTTTCTGTGTGTCTGTTTGAGTTTTAGGTTTTTGAGATTTGAAAAATCCTCTTACTTAAGATTTTAGGTTTATTATAGAGCACTCGGGCAGTCTCTGATGGTTTGCAGTATAAAGAAATCAAATCTGATGACCTGGGGTCCCTCTCCTATGAAATCAAAGTGCCTTTTTGTTTGTACCTTCCCCCTTTTCCATCTGCTGATGGACAGAAATGCTTCATTTTAAAATGCCTGATCATGAGAGAAGGACCAGCAGAGCTTTATCATTAAACCTCTTCATTCCAGTGGGGACAAAGACATATGTCCTTCCTCTTGTGTTCACATTCTGGCTCTCCAGTACAAGCTGGAAAAAAATGCTGGGTAAATTGATGATGTTAAAATGCATCCTGACATCTTCTGTTTGTATCCTTTTCTCCTATAAACCTGTTGGGAGGAAAAAACTGAATTATCAGTGCTATGTGTACTTCAGATGTGACTTCCACGGGAAGTCACTTAGACTTAGTCCCCTTCTGTAAATGTACAAAGTAAGAGAATATATTTTTGAAACAGCTAATTTTTGACTGCCCAATGAGACTGGTTTCCCTTTGATTTTTAAGGAAAAATAAGTCTGGAAATGTTTAACTTTTAAATTACTTTCACTTGAGGAGCTTTCAAGTTGGTGTTTGAAGCGTGTATTAATCAAGCTGATGAACAGACATTAGTAATCATTATGTGTGCTATAGTTGCATGAACTGAAGAAATCTGTGGTGAAAAGTTTTATTTCATTTTTGTTACACATTTTCAGTAGGAATCGACAGAAAGCGCTGCATATTGATTCCTTACAGCTGATAAACACATCTGCTCCCAGACCTTATGGTTTGTTGTACGAGCAATTTTTTCCAAACTTTTTTTTTTTCTGTTTATGATTAAATTTTTATGTTGGAAGACAGTTTTTGGTTTGTTTTTTTCCCCCCTTCCTTTACCTTTTATACCTTTTATATCTATCATGCATTTGTTCACGAAGCACAGGTGGGGATTGCATTACGAAATAAAAAATTCATGTTGATAATTCTAACAATTTGTGTGGAATAAGGGAGCCAAGTCATATATGATCCTTCACCAAATGAACAAACCAGAGATTTAGTTAGTCTGAATCTAATAAAAGAATATCAGATTTGTTGTTGTTTTAGTAAATAGGTTAAATTACACCAACAATGTACAGAGTTAATTAAATATATAATTATTATGGTTACTGTTTTGTTTAGTGAGAACTACGGTAATTGAAACAGATGTCTATGTTAACAGCATTGGCCCAGTTGACCCAATCAATATGGTAAGTTCTGATTATTGACAGAACACATTATCTGAATGATGCTATAGGTTAATATTATGAAATATTTTTAATCTCATTCAAATAATTTTCATTATTTCTCACTGTGTACTCTTATGTTAGTGGATATTATTGTGATTATTGCAGAAACACGTTTAAACTCTCTCTATTTGAAATTGTTGCAATGTAAAAAATATATTTCTTCTTTAAAAAATTGAGGCCACAGAGAGGACATTGTATCAGGTCCTTAGTGTGGTTTGTGTCAAACATTTTCATTGTGTTTGTTTAAATCTGGTTTACCTCTGGCCCAGTATAATTTCCTGGAGCTACACTTGGGATTAAGAAAAATGACAATTGACCCACCATTTGTGTATGAAACTATTTTCAGTGCAGTGATTTATTATTATTTTGCAAATTCATAGAAAGAAAAATTTGAACTTGACTCTTTTGTCCTTTCTCCATGTCTTATTTAGTCTTATGGGTCCTCTTCAGTGTGTGTGTGTGCATGTGTGTGTGTCTACATATAGCTGGTTTCTTCAGAAGTTAAGCAATGCGTCTCATCCAGTTTCTGGTAGACCTGTTGAGATCTGACCTGTCTATTTGGTACCAGCACTGAGGTAACAATATTTATGAGGAAACGGAGTCTGTGGTCTTTTCTTAGATCACTTAGATTTTCTGTCACGATGTGTGTTGTATGAAATGGGGGTGTTGGAGGCTTTAGAAAGGCCTTGTTGCGTGACTTCCGGGGACCATTGTCCAGGACTAAGACTGGGACTGGCCCTCAGGTGAATTTGAGCTCAGTCCCTTCTTGCCTTTTTCTTTTTCCTCGTCCCAACATGATTGCTGACAGTGCTGAATTGGCACGGCAGAGGAGCGTTTTGTTCAATCTGAGGCTGGAGCATGCCAGTGCAGGGGGCTTATGAGCATTTGGTGAAAGCACAGTAATTCTAGATTGCTATTAAGGATCTTGTGGTTTACACGTCTGTTGTCATGCTTGAGTAAGGAATACTGACTTTCAGTGATGGGAAGCCAAGCTGGGAAAAACAGTGGTACGCAGATACTATGGATAGAGGTGCCAAAAGCAGATGATGCAGGTCTGTGGCAAAAGATATTCATTCCAGCATAATGGTCAAACAGGCTTAGGGTTGTCATTACCTGGGGCTGTGGCAGGGAAGTCCATGTCTCAGGCCAGGACTGTACATAAAGAAATGCATGAAAGAGCAGAAGAGTGATGGGGTGGGGGAAACTTTTCAATTTCCATGTCTGGTATAAGTGGTGTCTTTGGTTTTGTCTCTCTTCCTACTGCAGTCATTCTCTTTTGCTTCTCTCCATCCTATCCTCTTCTGAAGGAACTTACTGTGGAAGCAAAATGTGTGGACAGGCAGCTACCTGTAAGGAGGATATAGGAAATGGTAGGGGCTTCATTTTCCAGTAACCAGAGTAAATCCTTCAGCCTGTGGCCGGTAGGCATTGCATACACTGGAACTGAAAATGTGAAATGCTTATAGCTTCAGTTTTCCAGTTTTAAAGAACCAGCATGTGGCTGGCTTTGCAGGGTGGCCCTGTCCCATCTCCTGTGCCCTCTTCTTGTCTCTGCAACCTTTGGGCAATCTCCCTGCTGCTATATACCATGGCCTCTCCTGTGCCCACAGCTGTCCTCTGCTTGCACAGCCTGGAGCCCGGGAGGCAGCATTATCACGCGCTGTGCTTGCGGTAATGACAGTGTCATCCATGGGACTATTTCATGTCACTCGTTTAGGAGGTCTTCCTTCATCTACTAGAGCTGTGCTAGAGCTGGGTGGTGATGCCCTTGCCGTGGTGCTAATAATAGGCAGTCATACTGGCTTTTTTTAGTCCAAGGTTAGAATAGCACCTTATTGAAAAGGCATATTACTTCATTAGAGAGCCAGATCCTAATGGTTATAATACGTATCAACTGTATGTATATCCCTCTAACCTTCTGATTTCTGTTAAAAAAATAAAAGATAACAATGAAGCATGCCACCAAAGGGTAGTTAGGTAAACGTCATTAAGACATAGAACTTTAAAAACTATTGTTTTTTTAAAATGGGCAATTTAAATTATAGTCTAGGGGCACTATGGCCTTCATACATTCATAAAAGAGCATTCGCTTTCATTGGGCTTGGACTCCAGGAACCTGGATCATATGAACATCTAACGTTACTACAAAAATCAAATGTTTGTGAAAACAAATAAAACCATATATATGCACATAATTTGATTAAGGTTTCCGAAAAAGATGGTTTTAATCTAGGAAACAACATTCTCAGCGAAAAAAATAATTACAGATTTGACCCTGTAAGCTCTCATTATGTGAGCTGTTGGTTTCATTAGGAAGGCACTTTCCCTGGAGTCAATATTGTTTGAGATTGTTAACTAATAATCCAAAAGTTACTTCCATTTCAAGGGCTGTCCTTAGCCCTTCATTTGATCACTTAATGTGAGAACACATATCTGTGATTCCCCATTGGATTTCTCATTTGCCAGATGCATTAATTCACTCTGGCAAATGATGTCCTTTAACTAGTTTGGAGACAATATGGCATGATGTAGAGAGCATTTTTTCTAAAAATGATGCTGAAGCAGCATATCAAGGGAGTGTGTTTGTCTGAAAGCTTCAGAGGACACATATTATGAGAGGAAACTGATTTACTTTTATAATTCAGTCTATTTTCCTCTTGCTGTCTGATAGGCTTTCACTTTCACAAAAAGGAGGCTTTAAATGTATGTATGACATTCATTAAACTTTTTTTGAAGGCTGTTGTGTTTTGGCTTTCACTATTTAACAAAGATCTACACAAAATTCTAGACAGTATAGACACCTCATGCTTAAGAGAAGTTTTTCCACAGCATGTGATCTCTTTAGACAGCCGCAACCGCATTTTTAACAAGCGTCTGGATCAGCGGAGTACTTAGGTTTCTAATACTCATTAAGTTTAAAGATTTTTGAATCTGTCCTGTAGAGCTAACCTGTGCTGTGCGTCGTGCAACAATCATGTAAAATGCAGCTAAGTCCATTTTTATGGCCAAAGTCTTGTTCCTCAATAGCTCTGCAGTGGTCTAGGGATTCCTTAGCAGAATTTAGACGTGCAATGAATATTTAGAGCCCAGTTTTCCTCTATGTGGAAGCTGACTCAGTTGAGCACTTAACGTAGATGTACTCGGCTCTTACTACCTTTCTCTTTCTTTCCAAACTAGGGCCAAGATGAAAAAAAGTCACTCTGTTTGGTGGTACTAGTAGCAGAGTCTGATATATGGCCCCTGTGTAGATAAGCGTATTGATCCATGTTGCCTATGGGCCTCGTTAGCTTTCTCTGCCCTGTATTCATCCCTCTAACCCTACATTTTCATAAATACATAATGTTTTGTGCTGCTGGTGGCCCAAGGAGCCCAGGGGAGGACCATGCCAGCACCACAGCTTTTGTGGTTTGACAAGACCATGCAAGTTCAGTGGGTTGGGAGAGGCATGGCAGCCCCCCAAGACATTTTTACTTTCCTTTAACTAAGAGAATACCCGATCTTGTAATTTCTGTTTGATCAAAACTCTCATGACAATAAAAGACTGCTACTCCAAATAAGAGAAATTTTTGGAGAAGGAATACAGGAGCAGTTCCTGAAGTAAGAAGCAGTATTACATCATGTCAAAAAATGAAAAGCAAAGAGAAAAGTTTATACTTTCCCTGTCCTGAGAGCTTATTTAATTGAGTTTCATATAGTAAATAGTGGAGCAATGCTTCAGTAACAAAAACAGGGAAAGGTTTAGAAAGAGGCAGATCGTTTCTATAGAGATGCATAGACATCACGATAGATAGATTGAAAACTAGCCTAAAGAAAATGCTCTACCTGTCTGGCTATATCTGTCTGTGTGTAAATGTACACATATATGAATGTGTATGTTTATAGAAACAACATTATGTTTTAAAATTCTTTGCTTTTCCATGTGTTTTTAAGTAATGATGTAACATTTTGAAACATTATGTTGTCATTGCCATTTTAGCGTGTTTGAGAGCTACGTATTTGTTTCTTCCCTTGCTGTGGATGGAGATGATGCTCTCTATTCAGCTTTTGCATTTATTTATGGAAGTCAGTATCAGGAGGTCCAGACTGAAAATTCCAGGATAAATTTCTAGGACTGCACTTCACTGAAGCAGTTTGGTTTCCTTGTTATTTCCCAACATTTCTGTCTCTTCTGCGGATGATTTAGCTTTTGTTGCATGATCTTTGCTAGTTATCCAGTGAAGGCTACTTGCGGCCACAAGCTGAAGGCCATACTTTGAAGCCTAGCACTCTTAATTTTAACAAGATAGCTAAAGCACTGAACAAATCAGATATTCACTAAATACACAATGTGCTGCTTTAGTACACAGACTGCATGGCCTGGACACTGTTAGGATACATTTTTTCCTGTCGTATTGTACCATTTATGACTTTGTGTAGAATGTGCCGATGATGAATTTTAAGTATCCTTTGGCTTCTAAATTCCATTTCATGCTTAAGTTGTAGCAACTAGCAGCAGATTTTTTGGTTTTTTTTGTTTTTTTTTTTTAAGGTATCAATGTGATGGATGTCCTAACACAGATCCCTCAATGTTACTGTACTTGTGGAGGATGTGGTCAGGTGTGTCACTGCACTTGTTCTACTAGTCACTAAATTTGTATTGAAGGTTTGAGGGTTTTGTATTTTTACTTTACAGTGCTGGGTAATTTACATTAAGCACACTAGAATATAAGTAATCATCACCCGAAGACAAATTATCTGAAGCTACCTTGAAATCCAGTACTCAAAGATGCACACCCTTTGTGTGCATTATTCTGAAAATCAATGGGTTTTTAACTCTGTTTTTCAGTGACATTGAATGGTTTGTTACTGAATGAATAGTAACTAGCATAAAGGAAAGATGAGGCTTAGAAAGAAAACAGAAATAGATGCTGGAATTAGCAAGGCCCTGATCCTGCAGATACCTAGGCATGTCCTTGTCACCA